ATATATATATATATATATATATATATATATATATATACACACACATAATCATAATAAAAATATATACAAAGTAACTGCACCCTAAAAATCAGTAAAATTACAGTAAGAATAGAATATAGAATAATCATATAGGTTTTAATAAAAAAAATGATAAAGGTTTGTGAAAAAATAAAATAAAGTTTTCTTAATATACAATAATTGCTATAATTAACGATATTAATACATATTTCATTTTTTTATCAAGTTTATCTTTTCATATATGTCTTATATAAAATAAAGTATAATGTCTTGGCTATATCTACTCATTGAATGAGACAATAAATTTTTTGAGGTAAATTGTGTAAACTAAAATCATAGTGCTGTGTAATAGGTACTGAGGTTAAGTTAAAATTAAGTAATGTAAAATATCTACCCTGTATAGGGTGGCAGTTATAGAGGTATATTTACTTGACTAGAGTCGCCGTACAATATAATTAATATTTTATCTATGTATAGCCAATACTATCAGATTGATATTTAATAAAAAATTATTGCAAATGAAATGAAATAATACTATTTTTCTTATTATTTAGAAAAGGTACAAGTTTGAATGAAGAAATTTTATGCATAAATGATAAACATAGTACATGAGTAACAATATGTTATGTACTTAAACAAAATACCGCTAGAATAATATAGTAAAGAAATAAATTATAATATTTCTAAATCAATGTATACAATAATTTATAAGACAAACAAATAGTTTTTAAAAAATTTGTAATCAAAATAGCCTCAATTTCAAAATATTTTTTCAAATATAAATCGTTATATTCTAAATGTAACATTTACAATACTTGTCTTTCACTATCTGTAGTCTAAAAATAACAGTGTTTATTGCTTTGTACTTCAATACTGTAATTCATTTTTTGATAATAAAATGCTTAGATAACAGCACGGCGACTCTATTTTTTTTTATAAACTTTAAAACTTATCACATCTTTCTTTTCTCTCTTTATACAATTAGTTATAAATATTATCATACCAATTTAACACCAATATGTTTCAATTCATTTTAAATTTAGTGAATGTCTTATAAACTGGAAACTTTTTATATAAGGTACGAATTAATATAAATAAGATTTGCATAAAGAAAATTACGTTCATAGCAAACAATATCGCGCTTAACAAATACAGTACATTATGCTGCTAAAAAATAAAAATACTTTATAATACATTGATTAAGATTTGTGTACAATAAAACTAAAATATTTTTTAAAGTGACACAGATGTAACATTTACTATCGAATATTTTGTCGCCATATTAATCATTATATTTTTTTTTCTTTATTAATTTTTTTTGATCTGTTATTTTTTAAAAATAATACCATTTTCTTTACAATATTCATAATTTAAATTTCATTAATATTAGAAAATTGTACAAGCTTAATAATTAACATATACATACAGTGCAAAAAATATTTTAAAAATCAATGCAAAAAAGAAAACAAATTCATGAGCGATCAGTTACTAGTTGCCTATAATTATATATCAATTCTCGTTTTTTATTTAACTCTAAGAAGAGTAACATATGAATACTTTCAACAAATATAAAAGTATACTACTATATGTGAATAACATAAAATGTAACAAGTTGTGTTAAATATGATAACAAATGGAAAACAAATCATTTAAATAAAAATCACAAAACAAGCATTCTATCAGTGAAATGTATCTATGTTTCATAACAACATAATTTGTCAAGAATAAATAGCTAAAATAATTTATGTTAATAAAATTGAGATTCTAATAATTGTGATTATAGAATATATAACAAATTCATAAATGGTGTTCAAATAAAGTTATCTTTCATGAAATTGTAATCAGATCTTGTAAAATTTTTTAACAATTTTACTGAGTTTTCATAAAAATAAATTATGAATTAAATTTAAAAAAGTTCAGATATATAATATAAAAAATCTCTATTCATAGCAACATCATTTCAATACAAAGCAGAATTGAAAATGATTTTAAATTATATGTTTAACAAATTATTTTGTACAAAAATGTAAAACTCTGCATAATAAATATATGATAAAATCTCTAGCATGTGCAGCTTGAATTAATTCTATTTTTACATAATTTCATACTGTGCTTGTAATGACTATATTATTGCATAAATTCAATGTAATATGATCATTTAAAATAGTACTGAATGTAAAATGTAATAAATAACAATTAATGGAGGTACACAATAATAATAACATGACATATCTACGTCTCACTCTAAAAGATATAGCTTATACTATCAGGTACTGTGTTGTGGGTTTTTCTGTCATGGTAACATGCACCAGTCTGGAATATGTATTTATAGTTTTCTTTCATTTTTACTTTTTGCTTTGTATGATGTAGTTAACTTTAAATGTCTTGTACAACATAAAAGACTTATCTTTATTATGTGAACAGGAAAAAATATATAATATTATATATTTTTAATTACATTAATATTTGAATGATTTGAATTGTTTTATTTTTTAGATATTTTTTATATATATTAAAAAAATTTTATTTTTTCCTGTTCTTATAATTTTTAATAGCATATACTACAATTATTAATATTTAGTATAAAAAAGATTCTATTAAATTAATATGGACATTTCAATTACTTTTTTTAAAAATGTTTGATATCTTATTTTTTTTAATAGAATAAATATTTACCAAGATTTGTAATGCTACATATATAATTATATTATTTGTAATAAAAGAAAAAACTTAAGACTATATTTTTCATACATAAAATCTGATTAGTATTTTTCTTAATTTCTTAAAACCTAAGAATTTTTTGTTAATTTAGATATAGTTAATAGAAAATTTAAGATTTTGGAATGATCAGTACTATATTGCTTTTTTAAAAAGCAATATATATCGTGAAATAGATTAGGCCATACCCGTATTTAGATATTCAATAATTTTGTTTTCTAGTATAAGGAATGTATTGTTTATGTCTTTTACTAATATTCAAAACATGATATTTTATGAACATATTTATAATTAATAGATATCCCATGTGTTAATATATCAAGAATTTTGATATTATTCCATTTGCTTGATTTCCAATTTTACATTCTTTTTTTTTTTTTTTTTTTTTTGTTTTTAATAAATATCATCTCAATAGATATATGAGCAAGTTATATAATGAATATTATTAAGTATCATTAGCATATCTGTGCCATGGTATTATTTTATACAAAATCAAATCTAAAAATTAGATTTTTTCTTGTCAAACTGTTAATATAGAAATACTGTGATGTCAATATTACTAACTTGCTTTGAAACATTATATACAAGATAATAGTCAAAAGATTCAATACACTTTTAAACTATTATTATTTACAATAATCTGGATGCATTAGTATTTTTATTTACAAGTTATGCTATATTAAACTTGTAAAATATAGTAACTTGCATTGCTTCATTAAGAATTTTGTTCTTGTTCATACATACAATTCATACATACATTTGTATGTACATTTTTTCATTTGTATATATTCATATTTTTTAATCAAATAATTCAAGTTGCATGAAAATTTTTACATCCTACCTGTAGCACGGGAGCATAGGTGGAAAACATGAACACGCAATTATATTGCCTAATGTTTTTTTTCATCCATTTGGTCCAAGCATCGGAATAGATATACACATAGATTTTGATAAAGATGTATCTCCATCTGGACAACCAGAATTATTATTTAAGCTGCTATTACTACTTTTTAAAGTACAATTGACCATTGTGAGTTGCGTGCCATCTAAATCTTGTTCTTGATCCTGCTTTTGTTCACCCAAGACAACATTGTCCATTATTTTGTACTATATTTTAAAAAATATATTAGTTTTATATATTATAATAATTTTGTATTATTTAAAATATCTCACTAAAATACCTGAGAATTTTTTGTTGTATGAATATCTTTTGGTTCACCATTTATTTCCCATGATGGTAATAAAGGTTCTTTTACGCAAGATTCAAGAATACCATTAGATTTTCCACCCTATAATAATGTATATTTTTTTTACATTTTTTATTTAAATTTAATACTATATTATATGTATTACAAATACAATTTTACATACTTTAGTATCTAAATGAGGATTAGTAATTGGAGATGTGGGACAAAGAACAGCAAGTTCAATTTCATTAGGTACCACTCTACTATTTATCTGTTGACTTACTGATGTAGACATTTGATCTGTACAACATCTATTTCGTACTGAAGTACGATTTTTTGTAGATTGTGCTGTTTCTCTTAAAATACGAGCATTTTCACATTTTTTTCGACAATATATACTGCATAGACAAATTTTAATAAATCCAATACTTATGCTTA